AAAATATGTGCAGTGTGCATAAGAATTCATTCATGTTTTTTTCAAACTATTATTGTGAGCCGTCCAGAGTCACCCATTGGGGGAGACAGGCAGCATACAAGCTTAATAATAAACAAATAAATAAATAAACAAACAAATAAATAAATAGTCCGACCCTCCAACATTCTGAGGGACTGTGAACTGGCCCCCTGTTTAAAAAGTTTGAGGGCCCCTGAGGTAGGCTATGATGCAGAGAAAATTGCCTCAAATTGACAATCTAACTTGCGCAGAGCAGCTCCCATATTCATCATGCAGTGAAAGGAGCTGCAGAAGACAGAGAAAGCCTTTCTTCCACAGACTTACTTAGAATCCAAGCCATTACTTTCTATAGTTAGTGGAAGATTATTCCACCATTCTATTTTATTGTAATGAACAGGATATTACATACCTCTAGCAACAGCACTGACATCCTCATAAAATCCAGCTATTAGAGCAACATGCCCAGGTCTAGATTCTGTCGGGACCCGAGTATGAGATACTCCCCAACTCCCTTTTGAAGTTATGATATTCCTGAAAGAAAGAAAGAAAGAAAGAAAGAAAGAAAGAAAGAAAGAAAGAAAGAAAGAAAGAAAGAAAGAAAGAAAGAAAGAAAGAAAGAAAGAAAGAAAGAAAGAAAGAAAGAAAGAAAGAAAGAAAGAAAGAAAGAAAGAAAGAAAGAAAGAAAGAAAGAAAGAAAGAAAGAAAGAAAGAAAGAAAGAAAGATTGATTCTAAATTAAAAAGCTGATGGCGTAGCTCAATTCCAACTCAAGTTACCTACTGAATCTACTTTTAGGCTGCCCTGAACAAAGGGAATGATATCTTGGACTGAGTTAATGAAAACAAGAATGCCCATATCTCAGAGTTAGACAAGTAAGCTAGTAGCTGAATATGAGCATAATGTGAAATTTAAAGCACTTTTGCATGACATGCACAGCTTATTCTAGTACAGTATTTCTCAAACTTGCAACTTTAAGATGTGTGGACTTCAACTCCCAGAATTCCCCTGGCTGGGGAATTCTGGGAGTTG